AATATAAACTTTCTTATCATCTAAGAAATCGCGGATATAAGAACTTTGAAATCGGTACTGATGAAACTGATGCTTTTTAATAATGCTATTACGAATTTTTGCAAAAAACATTTTGATTCTGATCAGTTATAAAAAAGTAAAATTTAGAATGCAAAAAAGTAATAATATAGTTTTTTAAATAAATGGGCTAATAATAATGACTCAAAATGACTTAAAAAAAATGACAATTTTAGAAAAATCAATTATGTAATTAATTGTGGCTTTAAATTAGATAAAGAAAAAATTTTTTAAATCAAATCATTATCTTACATAATTAGAATATTTTAGTTTTATTATTTCCTAAACCAAGAAATAAACAAACCATAAAATTTCTATATTATTATCAAACCTATCATTGGTTTGTTGTAAGTATTTTTATGGATGTTTATGTGTTGTATTTATATGAGTTAACTAAACTATACAATATCTATATTATCGGGTATCCGGGCTATTCGCCGAAGTCCATTTCACCGAAACCCATTTCGCCGAAGCCATTTCGCCGAAGGGATATTTCACCGAAGGGATATTTCGGCAAAAGGGCGTTTCCCCGAAATATTTATACTAAATACATAAAGAAGTGTTCCTAGAAAAATTTGAATTAGCTGATTTTTATTAAATTTATCTCGTTCGGCTTGTTTATAATATATTGCAGTAATAACCTTTTTTTTACTTACTTTTTCGTGAATAAATATTTTCAGGAAAATAAAAGTTATTTAATTCTTATCAATTAATATCAATTACTTGAATGTTAGTTAAAAATATCCTGGAAAAAAAAATTTCGTTGCGCGATGAATATTTTTGTTTAATGTTAATCGCTACCATTTCGGCGAAATGGATCGGAATTCGTCGAAATGGACGATTCGGTGAAATGGATTCGATAAAATGCACTTTCGGCAAAACGTCCTTTCGGCGAAACGTCCCTTCGGTGAAATATCCCTTCGGTGAAATAGCTTCGCCGAAATGTATTGTAACCATATTATCGTACAGCTAATGCGATTTATTAATAAATAGTAAATATTTTCTTTTATATTTTTTACATATTAAACTATTAAACTTTATCATTTATTGTTTATAATTTACAAAATATAAAGCTATAAATATGTATTATATTAGCAATAATCCTTTAAATTATTTAAAATTTTTTTCTTTTTTACGTAACAATATACAAATTTTAGATATACAAATGTCCGAATGGATATATATTGTTCATTAAATGTCATTATGATACTTATGATACTCAACGTCCCGTCGATGATTACAGATGATGATGTTAGCTTGTTACTGTTATACGATTAAATGCAACAGTTCTTTATATTAATCGATTGTATAAATAAATGAATCAATAGATGTGTATGGCGGTTTGTTGCGTTGACTCAGGGCTATTAACAATGTCTCTTGGGTAATTATAGTATAAAGGTTAATTATATACAAGTGAGTACAATCTCTCCAGCAGATAGAGCTCCTGATGAAAAGTTGTGAGTATAAGCACAAGTGGGTTTATACATGAACTAATTGAACTATACAAGATTCACAATTTAGACATTGTTCAATAAATCTAAGAGAATTTTAAATGTTAATATTAATTCTTAATTTAAATCAACATAAAGAATAATTATATGTTTATTGAAAGAACCCGATTACATAAATGATAATTATTTATAAAAGAGAATAATGATTAAGAGGATTAAAAAAAAGAAAATTTCTTAGTAATTTTGAAATACTTCTAATTCTTCTACAGAAAATTTACTATTACTATTTCTGATCGGTCTATCATAGGAAGCTTTTGTACAAACACTATTATTAAATAGTTTACTTCCGCGTAAAATAAGATCCCCTTCTTCAAATGATAGGCCACAACTACTATGATGAGATATGGTAAAATTTGTATTCCTTACACGACTCAAAATATGATTCTCGACACTTTTATTATCGAAAGAGAATATGAAACTATCGTAAGTAGCGACATAGATACCACCAGTTTTCCATTCAATTGGATTACTATATCCTTCAAGAATTTCGTTACTATTCCTTACTTTAATAATAGTTACGGTGCGAGCTTGATTATTGCAGGCTTTACGAAATTTATTGCTATTAAATGCGTTAAGAGATCCATGAAAAATTAATTTAAATTCATATGAAGCATTTTAAAGATCTAGTAATCCATTAATCCATCTCAAGATTGTTCTAATGTAATAATGTTTGAAACAATATTTGTAATATTAGCTAACCTACTGTAAATATCTGTGGCTCAATATTTGGAATATTACTTGTACTTGTCGACTGAAAATCTTTTCAAATGCCTGAGCTTCGGGTTCAATCTCTTTAGTCTTCTCCGGTTCTGATTGATCAATTTGTTTATGATCGTGATCCAAAAAAAGTTTTACTAAATGTCTCAGATAGAATTTCTCTATAAGGAACTACATTGTCTAAAAATTCTTTTAAACTAAAATTATCGAACTTAATTAAAGAAATACATTGTTGTAAAGTATTTTTAATGTACTAAAATCATTCTCAGTAAAGCTTTCAGGATCAGAAGGAAGTCCTGGATTTTGATCGAGCCCCCATTTAAGAACATGATTCCAAATTTGAACTTCATTCATTTTAAGATTATGATTATTTTGAATAAGAGAAACCAAAATATTTTCCGGAATCGAAGAAAAATTATTTGAATTGAATACTATCTTATCTGGTTTATTTGTTATAAGATCGTTACAATAATTTTGAAGTACTGATAAAGAATTATTATTTTCTAAACTTGTTTGAAATCTATCTATAATAACTAAAAAAATTTGTCTGACGTTTGGATTAGTCTCCGTATAAATAATTTGAATTGTGTAACTTGAAATCCCATGCCATATAGTTAAAACCCGTGACATGACATGCCTCCGCCTGGATCTATTTATGGTCAAAAAACTATTCGATCCGTTCGCATTCCAATCAACTACATGTAATCCAATTTCAGTTAATAAAATTTTACCTTAATCGGAATTTTTTTTAAAATTTTTTTTATTTTTTTTTCGATCTTTTTTTTTTAATGAAACGTACAAAACTAAATCATTTCAGTGGGTCTGAACCGAGTCACAAAAAGAAAGTAATGAAACATTACCTTAAAAAAGATTGAAAAAATTTTTTACCCAATTAAGGTTAATCGATTAATTAATCGATTAATTAAATCGGTTAAAAATGCAGAAACAGATACTGTATTTATTTTTTTATTAGTTATATAGATTTATGTAAAAAATATAAAAAAATTTAAATTGATTTATTTAAACAAAACTTTATTAAAAGTGGCTATTTAACATGGATGATAACTAACTAAATGATGATTTTTATGAATATCAATCGTGACTATAGGAATGTTGAAAGTATTGAAGAATTTTTATCTGTGTCGCCAAAGCTTGCATCTCCTACAATTTCTAAAAGGTCGTCATTTTTTGAATCAACAACTAGTAGTCACTAGTCAGCAGCAGCAAACAAAAAATCAAAAGGTATTGCTTAAACATCGCCTTGGCGATCATCGCCTTTACCACTCCTTTACCAGAATTAGGATGGCATTTTGGGCGGAGTTACATTCATATTCTTAATTATTCTGCCCAAGTTCCATCCTAATGCTGGTAAAGGCAGGAGATGTATAGTATTTTTTTATTAAATATTTTACAAAATTTCTCTGTTTTTATTTTTATTTTTAACGATATTTATAAATATTTTTTGTAATTATTTCGGACATTAATTATGTTATGTGATAGTACGCAAAATGTTAATGGCAGGTTAAAATTGTAAAATTTATTATATATTAATCGGCTAATTAACCAATTAATTAACCGATTAATTAATCGATTATTATTCGATTATGGTAGCTGGTTAATCGATTATTAATCGGTTAAGGTTTTTTCGGTCTTCCAACCTCTATTCCGAACTACTTAATTGCCGATCCGTCTAAAATCGGCACTATTTTTCGGGGGGTATCAGGTAATTAATGGTTAAATTTAAGCAAAAATCGCACAATTGTGAGAAAACTACATAATACTAGAGAAAGGAATAGCTCATTATATATAATAAAAATCAAATGATATATGTAAAAAAACCCAAGGAAAAATAATATGCTAAAATAATTATACCTTTATTATTGAAAAAACAACTTTACATTTTACGCGCGTCAGATTCCACTTTTACATGAATTTTGATAACTTTTTATTATATTATTATATTTAAATATCAACAAATGGCTTATAGTAATTATCAACCAACTCCAAATTACTTCCAAATTACTAAAAAAAAAAAGATACTTATTAATTATTTAATTGTCAATTCGTTTAAGATTGACTTTTTTAGCATTATATGTTCGGGCGAAATTTAACGAAATTGCATATCTGGCAATACTGTAATTGAATATTAAATAATAATATTTTTACAAAATCATCAGTGTTACAAAAAAAGGAGTTATATAATCAACAAAAAGAAAACGCAGGGGCCAATATGTGACGTGGGAAGGAAAATTGAGTGGGTTAACACAAAATCGTCTAATGCAGTACAATAAAATGTCTTTCACTAACGCTACGGACAATTAATGATCTAACTATATTAATCATAATCATTTTGATTTGATGAAATATTGTAATTGAAAAATGAGCAGAAATTGAATCATTTTCATAACTATGATATATTCGATAAGAACTTAAATATTATCCAATAGTTAACAGATATTTTTTGAAAGAATACTTATTTATTAAATTACTAATAGGTTTAATTATTGATTATTAATAGCTCAAATAGATTATTAGAGTGGCTTAGTTAAACGTACTACTATTTCAGTAATTAATTATCATTATTGTTAAAAAATTAAAATGGCTTCGTGATGGCTGATCTTGATTTGGGTTTTAAATGAAAATTTTATTTTAATTCATATATGATAATAAATTATTAATTTAATTTGGTAATTATGATAAATAAAAACATCTAATGCATCATCTTATGAAGAAGAACAATTTAAAAAAATTTTATTTTTCTATTGTCAAAATTTTTTTTTTTTTTCATTGTCAAAAAAATCATTTCATTGACAAAAAAAGTTTTCGTAAGAAATTTTTCTCAAATTGATTTATTAAAATATAAATCTTAATATTTAGCAATGTTTACAGTAGTAACAATATGTATATACATATATGTTTATTCATCTCAAATGCAAAATACTGTACAATAATTCCAACGCACCATGATAATCATTTTCATATTTGCAAATTTGAACCAAGTTAAATAATAACAACTTGAAAAAACAGATAAAACTTTGATTAAATTCTTTCAATCATAAAGAATATAAAATGGTCCATGATTTAATCATATCTGGAAATGTGTACCTAGATAGGTAGAGTAACGTACAGTAAAAACATAACATTACTAATTTACGTTACTCCTTTATAATGTAAAGCATAAAACGCAAGGTAAATAACATACATTAGTTCTCTTGATATAAGTCACAGAACTGAACGTGAGTTGGAATAAGCGAAAATAATCATATTTATATGCCTAAAAAAATTTATAATTTTTTGATTTATTGATATACTATAAAATATGTATTTAACAGATATATTTATTCATTTTAATTTACGTTATAATTTATTGGAAAGTTAATATGCAGCCAGTCAATCATTTTCTTTTTTTTTTAAAATTCAGATCGAGAAACTTTAAATTTTTTGGTACGTCGCATAATCAACTAAGTGATCGGACTAATAAATCCTATCAAAAATAACCAAAAAATTTCTTTCGATTGGTTTACAATAATATTGTATTACATAATATTATTTGTTGTACAAAATATTTAACGAAACAAATTGCACTAACGACTAAAAATTTTAAAGTCGTAATGTAAAATAACAAACTAGTTTTCATAAAATTTTTTCACAAAATAAAAAAAAAATTACGTATTGGACATAAAATAAAAAATGTTAAACCTTAATTTATTGCATATAGATTATTAAATATGCGATTATTAATTTCCTGTACTTTTATAATTTTAATAAAATATTCGAATATGCAAGTAATCTTTAATACATAAAAGTTTTTTTTTTTTTTTGTCATTTTACCATTCGATAAAATTTATTTTCATTTATAACTAACAACTATTATGTATAATAACAAACTGATTATAAAATACAAATTTAAGGATCATTGTACTGTACAAAGAAAATTAACTTGAATAATATTTTGTTTAAAGATTTATTTTTTTTTAAAAAAAAAAAGAATTTATTTTTTGAAATGTTTTTCGTTAATTTTGTTGCTCAAAGCCACACACATTATTGGGAATTCAAAAATTCTAAAATTCGAAAATTGGGTTCAAAAAAAAAACAAATCATGTTGTATTTTAAAACTCCCATATTTAGATATTTTAAAAAATTTTTTTTTTCTCTTTATAGAATAAAAAAATTCGTACTAATTTTATTTGGCATGCTAAACTTTAACACGTGCTCACGGCTGCAGTACAAATTTTCTGGTTATAGGCTTTTTTTAAAAAAACTTATCCATTTTCGAATTAGCGTGATCGGGCGATTTAACCAATCAAACCGATTTATTAATTACTGCTTTTTTATACTACGAAAAAAAACACCATAACAGATAATTATTTTTTTTTTTTTAAAAAAAAAGCAAGAACCATAGACCTATTTTATTTTATCCAAAAATGCTTCTAGAACATTTTATCCTAAAGCATAAGGTAAAAAATATTTTTTTTGTTCCATTTTATTTCTAACTTTTTTTTGGGATGCCTATCAATGTCGCAAATTCTTTTAATATAAGTTTTATTTATTTTTTTTTTTAAAAAAAAAATAATAATTTTAGACAAATATTTTATCCTACAACCAAAACATTTGTTGAATCGTACAATGATTCTATGCTTTGTGTATATCACTGCGGCTGCGAGCACGTGTTGAGAAAAACAGTACTGCGATTAGAAAATTATGAAATAAAAAAAAAGGTAGTACGAATTTTTTGGAGAAAAAAAAACTTAAAAATATTTATTATGTACCAAAATAACAAATCATGTTACACTTTAAAACTTTCATATTGGGATATTTCACCCCAATTTTCGAATTTTAGAATCTTTGAATTCCCAATAAATAATATGTGTGGCTTTGAGATGCAGCAAAAAATAAATAAATAGTAAATAAATAATTTTTTTTAAAAAAAAAATATTATTCAAGTTACTTTTAATTTTCTTTATTTATTCTATTTATTATATATTAACTGTTAAATGATTATATTTACGTAAAAGTCATTAAGTTACAAATAAAAATAAATTTAATCAAATGGAGAAAAAAAACTTTTATGTATGATTATGCAGTTTCATTTTTTGTATATTCGAATTTTAAATTTTTGACTTTAAATTCTTTAAATTAGAAATTAATAATTGCATAATAACAAACTATGTGCAATTTAAAATTTTTTATTTTATGTCCAAATACGTAATTTTTTTCGATCACTTGATTTATGCGACGTACCAAAAAATTTAAAGTTTCTAGAAAATGATTGACTGGCTGCATATTAACTTTCCAATAAATTATAACGTAAATTAAAATGAATAAATATAACTGCTAAATACATATTTCATGATAGTATATCAATAAATCAAAAAACTATTAAATTTTTTTTAAGCAAATAAAAATTTATACGCACGTTATTTTATCATCTAGGTACAATTGCCAGATATGATTAAATTATGGACTATTTTTGTATACTTTATGATTAAAGAATTTAATCAAAGTTCTATCTGTTTTCAAGTCATGAAACACTCCCTAAACTTTGTTCATTATTAAATTTACAAATATGAAAATGATTATCATGACGTGTCGGAATTATTATTTTACATTTGAGATGAATAATAAGCGTATATTGTATTCTGCTGTAAGTATTGCTGAAAACTACCACAAAAGTATTGGACTTAACCCGCCTAGTGACATCATCTTGACTCCCCTTATTGTAAAATATATTGTCATGTTAGTACCACATAGTGAATCAAGAACGACATTTAAACATCATTTTAGAAATCAGCTCGAAGAAAAAAATTTTATTGCTTATTATTTTTTTTGTTATCATATACAAAACAATAAATTTCCTTGATTCAACTCATTATTAAACCTACAGTCCTACAGATTATTTCTCGTCATAAGATGATGCATTAGATGTTTTTTTTTTATCTAACGAATACATTCTTTATTGATTAGATGCTTTTATTTATCATAATCACCGAATTAAATTGAATGGATATGCGGTAAAAACTATTATTATATAGACTAAAATAAAATTTTCATTCAAAGTCAGAATCAAGATCAGCAATCATGAAGCCATTTACACTCTTCTGATTTTTTAACAATAATGATAATAATTATATATATATATTTTTTAATTTCGAAATTGGAAATTCAATCACTAAGCCACTTACATGTGAGAAATCCATTGTTAATTTTACAAACGAGTAAGTATCTGTTAATAAATAAAGTTTTATTATTGAATTAAATACTCTGTCATAATTATAAATATGCCCTAGTTTCCGCTAATCTTGCAATTACAACTTCCCTTCATACTTTTTTTTTTATAGGTATCATAATGTCAACAACCTTGAAAACGTTAGCTAATTTAACTCATAAATTACGATTTAGAGGTTCAATTTCATATAAAAATAAGAAACAAAATGAAATTATCAGGAAATTAGTCATTACTAATAACCTCAAAGCAACTTTTAGAAAAGATAAAGGGAATGTATCCCATTTATTTTTTGTTAACAGAAAGGAAGAAAATATAAAATTACATGATCTAGTAGTGATTAATTCAACGAATGGTACCTTAGTTAAAGGTAATCATTATCCAACTAAGACGGGTCCTTATTCATATAAGATCAACCAGGCTCTAGACTACAGAGTTTACCTTCAAAATAATCACATTTTAAGTCTATCAAGCCAAAACCGGCAAGTAGTTTTTTCAATGTAAGACTTATTAAAGATTCACTCATACGATTGGTTATTTATTAATTCAAAAATACATTTTACTAATTAAAACTATATTTATTTATTAAAAGGCCGGTTGATGTCGATAAAAAAAAATAGGCGGTTAATAAATATTAATCCTAAGTAAAATCATTAACAAGAGTTTGCATATGCAGAATATATCAAGAAATATTGTTCATTGTTTTTTTTTTAAAAAAAATGATATTGTCCAAAAAAAATATATAAGGTACTTGACATTTTAAGATAAGATGATTCCTTTTTTTATCTTAAATAGGTATATAATTTTCTTTTGTTATCATTTTTTGTATTTTTTTTTTATTTTCTATCATTTTTCTTAAAAAAATATCTCTTGGTCTTTTATTCGATTTTATTTACTGAATTGTTTGTTTACATTTAAATAAACCGGATTAAACTACATATATATTATATACTATACGCCTTTTGTCTAAATAATGATAACAAATAATATATTTAATATATAGACTTTTATAAAAATTGTAATTAATATAAACTAAGATTTAATGTAAAATTATAAAATAATCTATTCAGCTTAATTACTAAAATTTAGATAGTAATAATTATGTAATCAATACTTTGTAATAATAATGAAAAATTGTAGGCCATAATTTCAGCCAGAATTACGAATCATATGACCTTTTAAAATTTTTAATCTTACCGTGAAAATCAAAAAGAAATACAGTAGATATATTACATCTCACGTGATTATTCTTAAGGACAACGATCGTCAGAAGTCACATGTATAAAATAAATACCTCCGAAGCGATGAAAATTTTTCATACATACGTTTTTTTATTTTAGGTATATTTATGGAAGAAAACTTACTTTGGAATAACATGATATTTCTGATATCTTCAAATTTTGGTTACTACGAATTAAGCCTTCAGGAATTGAACAACTATTTACAATCCTTTGTGATAAAAACAATGTTGAATAGAACAAAATTTTAACTTTCTTGGAGTAATAATCTTATATTAAAGAAACCAGAAGATTTATTCAAATCGCTTAATTTCTCTTTAATTTCAGATAATGTTTTGATTTCACTTGTTCAAAATGATAGTCTTCAGATGAGAGAAATTCAGGTCTGGGAACATGTACTTTTGCTCAAAATCCAGAACTTCCTTCTGATCTTATAAATTTTTCAATAATGATTTTAATTTATTAAAAAATACGTTGTAACAATGTATTTCCTTTGTTAGTTTTATAATTTAACTTCTCAAGAGTTTTCTGATAAAGTATTACCTTATAAAAAAATTTTACCAAAAGAATTATACATGGATTTATTAAAAACCTTCTTTAAGCATACATCCTTATAGGCGTTATAGCAAATCAAAACCTCGTAATAATATCTATATTGATACAAAAGTAATTGATTCAAAAATTATCACAATTCAACATTTTGAATTAATTTTAAAATAGATTGATAAATTAAATATTACGGACAATTTAGCTTTTTCAGATGAATTTAAATTAATGCTTCGTGGATCTCGTGATGGGTTTGCGACTAGTAAATTTTATGAAATTTATGATAACCAACCTCGTATTATAACAATTGTTAAAGTAAAAGACAGTGACAAAATTCTTGGAGGATACAATCCAAATAGATAGAGTGCTGTTATTAGTGGTTATGGTAAAACCAGAGAGAGTTTTCTATTCTCCTTTAAAAATTGTGTTAGTATTGATAATTATATTTTAAGTCGTGTAAAGAATGAAAATAATGCTATATGGAATAGTTGCTATTACGGTCCATATTTTGGCAGTTATGACTTTGCTTTATATGGAAACGATTTTTATAATGAAAGTTATTGTAGAAAAAGTGCTTATGAAGACCCAATCAGAAAAACTGAAGATACGTTTTCTATTGAAGAATATAAAGTATTTCAAATTATAAAAAATTAGGGTGTATGTTATATATACAGATGATGATGTTAGCTTGTTACTGTGTACAATTAAATGCAACAGTTCTTTATATTAATCGATTGTATAAATAAATGCATTCTTCACGCAAATATCAATAACAATTTAAACATTATTCAATAATCTAAGAGAATTTAAAATATTAATATTAAATTCTTAATTTATATCAGCATAAAGAATAATTATACGTTTATTGAAAGAACCCGTTTACATAATATAAAAGAGAATAATGATTAAGAGGATTAAAAAAAAGAAAATTTCTTAGTAATTTGAAATACTTCTAATTCTTCTACAGAAAATTTACTATTACTATTTCTGATCGGTCTATCATAGGAAGCTTTTGTACAAACACTATTATTAAATAGTTTATTTCCGCGCAAAATAAGATCCCCTTCTCCAAATGATGGGCCGCGATTACTATTATGAGATATGGCAAAGTTTGTATTCCTTACACGACTCAAAATATGATTCTCGACCCTTTTATTTTTATCAAAAGAGAATATAAAACTATCGTAAGCAGCGGCATGGGTACAACCAGATTTCCATTCAATTGGATTGTATCCTCCAAGAATTTCGTTACTGTCCTTCACTTTTATAATAGTTACAGTGCAAGGT